ATTAGAAGGTTGGCAACCCTAAACAGAACTATAGTGAAAATTACGTAGAATGGCCTCTCCTCATATATAGTCTAGTTAAGCTCTTATTAAAAGCACAGTTGTCTGTCCTACGAAATCTCATTACTATCGTTCCAAATATGACAAAATGAATTATATCACACTGTGATAAGAACTTTACAACACCAATTATCCTCCAGAGTGTGTTGCACTGAATGGCTTTGGCTTCCTGTAGGAAATACACTTCCTAGCTGCAGAGATGTCTGCAGGCCTATGTATTCTGTACAGAGGCAGACATCCCCATATTAAACCTTGTATTAAACTACTGACTTCAGTGGTCTTTGGCTCAGGCCCATAATATCCAAGCCCATAATTTGTTGTAGGTTATTGTTTCATTTATATATGAGCTGCAGTTTGCAAACTTTTGTGTTAATAAATACATTGTATCAAAGCTAATCTACATTACTGCATCTTCTCATGGAATAAATGACCTATGACCACTTAAGGTAAAATACAAACTGAAAAGCATTTAATAAATGCAGAACAACTTAATGCAGAAGACAAACATTTGGGGAATAAAATACCACATGCCAGAATCACACAACTATGAGACAAAATACTGTTTTTGAGCTGGATCTGAGATCTATACCAGTTTAGATGATGTTGGCTCTTGTGGAGTCTTTATAGAAAATTGGTCCCCTATCTCCTGCTAAACTGTGACTTTAAGAATTAAGTTGAATCAATAATTAAGTCTATTATTCTAATGGTATCTGGAAAAGAATCTTAATTTTCTGCAAGGGAAATGGAAACACTGCTGACTTCTTAGCAGGGTAACAAACTAATGACACAGCAATGGGCAGCTGAAAGCAGATTGTTTTTAATCTCTTAATTCTTAATATATGCACATATTGAAGTGGACTAATTGTGACCTGAGTTGTTTTCATATTATAGAGTTTATGCATGCAGCTCTGAATGATGAAAGAACAAACTTCATAATTATCAATAAAAAAGACCACAGACTACAAAAATCAGATCCAAAATATGAACCTCAATGGCTCATTGTGTACAGAACCAGGATTTTTGGTTCTGCCCCATATATAAACTACTATTTTACCCAGCACGGCTTGTGTCCTTAACTCAGTTAAGCTCAACTCTGTACAAATTTGGGAGAAGGAAGAGCTTCAGCCTCCCCCTCCCACTTTCTAAAGGGTGCCTAAGATACGAGACAATCGTCAGTCAGCCCCTTTCACCTGCCTGTTGATTCTATCGCTTTTCTGTTTGGTGTTATGAGAAGCAATCCCATTCCAGACACATTTCATTTTCCTGGAACAACCTAATGCTTATGTAGCTTTAAGTTATAATAAGAGGAAGCTGTACACTCAGTTTGGTGGTCCTAGCTGTTACCATTTAAGAGGAATTCTTGATAGACAAACTCTCTGCCTTGCCCTGGCTGGGATGAATAGGTTGGGATTGGTCCTGCTTTGGGCAGGAGGCTGGATTCGATGACCTCCTGAGGTCTTTTCCAGACCTGGGATTCTATGATTTCTCTCAAATATATAGCAGAGATATTGGAATGGTAATGATTACAAATAATGTACGTATGTGTATATTTGCTCATCTTCTAATTGCCATATTTGAAGATTCTGATTTGATTGTTATTAGAGTTTACCAAAACATTCTAACAGCTTTCCACTCAATCTATAGACAAAATTACAGGAGCTCCTATTGTTTGTCACTTGCACTGAAACTTAGACTCATAGAATCATAGGGCTGGAAGAGATCTCAGGACGTCATCGACTCCAGCTTTCGGCCCAAAGCAGGACCAATCCCAACTAAATCAACCCAGGTAGAGCTTTCTCAAGCCAAGACTTAAAAACCTCTAGGGATGGAGATTCCACCAACTCCCTAGTTAACCCATTCCAGTACTTTCATCACCCTCCTAGGGAAATAGTTTTTCCTAATGTCCAACCTAGACCTCCCCCACTGTAACTTGAGACGATTGCTCCTTGTTCTGCCATCTGTCACTACTGCGAACAGTCTCTCTCCATCCTCTTTGGAACCTCTCTTCAGGAAGTTGAAAGCTGTTATCAAATCTCCCTTCACTCTTCTCTTCTGCAGACTAAATAAGCCCAAATCGCTTACCCTCTTCTCATAGGTCATGTGCTCTATCCCCCTAATCATTTTGGTTGCTCTCTGCTGGACCCTTTCCAATGTGTCCATATCCTTTCCATAGTGGGGTGCCCACAACTGGACGCAATACTCCAGATGTGGCCACACCAGAGCCGAATGAAGGGGAACAATCACTTCTCTAGACCTGCTGGCAATGCTCCTCCTAATGCAACCTAATATGCCATTAGCCTTCTTGGCTACAAGGGCACACTTGTTGACTCATATCCAGCTTCTCATCCAGTGTAATCCCCAGGTC